CCCCCACCCCCCAGCTGTGGGCTTTGTTTCTCCATCTGGAAACTAGGGGTGATGTTATCACTGCCGACCTCCTAGGGTTGTTGTGGGACTTCGGTGAATAAATAAGTGGTTGATGGCACCGAGTATGTACTGGGGGAATGGTCATTAATAGCCCAGCTTGGCTGGGGCCCAGGGGGTGAGGAGCTGTGGGAGACACATCTGCCACATTGAGTGGGAGCCAGGTCTAGAAAGTCCTTACATGTGACAGTTAAGACATTTAGACTCCACCCCACAGAGGCTGTCAGGGGAAGATGAATCTGACCGTGAATGGAGGAGAAAAGACCGCAGGGAAGTGAGCCCAGGTGGGTGAACTGACCCACATGAGCAGTCAGGGACTCATCCTGGAACTAGGGCAGTGACAACAGGAGGGAGAGAGAATAGATGCAGAATTATGGGGACAGAAAAGTCCACAGGGAATGGGAGCAGGTGTGTGACCGGTGCTGCTGCGCATTGAAACAGGAATGTTACAAAGGGAGCAGGCGTGGTGAGGCTGACTGTGGGGCCTGAGGAGGAATGCCAGGTGGTGATGCCCAGGAGAGGGGATGGCGCCCTGGAGCTGGGGAGTGGGGCTGCAGCTGGGAGATGCAGGATGGAGGGGGACAAGTAGAGTCGGAAATGGCTGGGAGCGGTTGAGGATGAAGCAAGGCAAACCCCAGGGAGGCTGGTCAGATGGTGGCAGTGGGATGCCAGAGGAGGCATCTGTGGGTTGCCCCTGAGCAAAGTGCTGGACTCCTGAGGACCTCAGCCATTGGTGGTGTGAAAGGCCCTGGAAAAGCATTCAGGATGAGGCGGGAAGGACGGGGACAGAGAAACAGAACAGGCTGGGGATGCAGAGTAGAGCGCAGGGTTAGGACCCACTCTTTTAAAAAGTTGAGGGCAAAAGAATGAAGGTGGGTGAATTTCACAGACACAATGTTGAGCAAAAGAGGCCAGGCTACCAGAGTGTGATTCCATGTATATGTAGTTCAAAACAAGGCGAAACTGCTTTATGGTGATGAAAGCCGAGAAAATACTGGGTGGAGATGGTGATTGGCGGGGAGGGAGCTTTCTGGGATGCTGGGAATGTTCTGTATCTCATCAGGCTGTGGCCTGTGAGCTGTACACTTTGCCACATGCATGTTACACCTCAACAAACAGACAAATTGATGGACTTAAATGAGGGCAGGAGCCTGGGCCGGGTGCGTTAAACCCTTCCTGCTGATGTGGAAGGAAGGAGATCGGTTTCCGCAGACCCCGCCCCTTGGAGAGAGAAACAGAAGAACGTGTCCAAGTTCTCTGTGCCCTCAACTGCGGAGGAAGGGGAGGCAGGTGTCAACCAGGCATGACAGGAATGCACGGTCCTTGGCTGAAGCTTCTGCGTGGCACTTTCAGATGCGCACGGATTCTAACCGGATTGTCAACGTTTGTAAGGTTTAACAATGCGCCTCTTCTTTATTTGTACTACTTTCTGGCTAACAGCTTTAAAGGAATAAAATATTAGGGCGAAGTATCTATTTGGCTGATACATTTGTCTTCTGTACAGTATGCCTTTGTATATCACATGTACATTATGAATATATACCCATATTTCTATTACGTGGAAGGACTTGTTCCTCCTGGTCGTCCCTGCCTCGTGATGGTGAAGATGTCCAGCGTTTGTTTCATGATTGAGGCTATTCTGCTCTCGTGAACTTCCTACACCCCTTTTCCCTAAAATTCCTGGGTTTTCTGTCGGTTCCGTAGAGGGGCGGACATAATAGCTCGAACCTTAGTCTTCACCAGCCATGCTCTGGGTGTTCCTGCAGCTCCAGCCCCACGTGCTGCCCCGTGCGGTGGCTGGAGGTTGGTCAGCTCACCTCCCAGGGTAGCGTCTTACTGGTCCATTGTGAGCTCCGGAAGCCTATCCAAGCGCTTCCCCGACTCGGGGTCCCTCAGTAAACGTGTGCCCCATTAATTTTTGCCTGAAATACTCGTAGTCCGATTAACTACTAAGGGGAGAAATACGAAAGCTGTAACCTACAGGCCCCAGTGGCCTAATGGATAAGGCACTGGCCTCCTAAGCCAGGGATTGTGGGTTCGAGTCCCACCTGGGGTACAGTCATATTTTTGACACTGAAAAATTCTCTCCACTGCAGCTCGATCTTATTAAAAAAAAAACCCCGAGTGCACGGGACTGGAACACCGAAAGGTTCCCCAAAGCAAAGCTCCCAACAGCGACACCCACCCCCTACTTTTCTACACTTCACAGCCGACGCTAGAGAGCAGGACTTGTCCTGTAGGTGCAGCGTGTTCCTAGGACCCACCAGGCCCGCGAGGGGATGAAGGGGGCGAAGGCAACAATGAGCTGGGGTCGGGGAACCGCGTAGACACACCCTGATCGAAAAAGCGAGGGGGCTGTGAGAGCGGGCAGGGCTCCAGAGACCGCGCGGCCCCAACCACGTGGAATGGAGCCCCTGGTTGCCCGTGTGCAGTGCGGCAGGGTCAGCACGTTTGCGAATCAAAAGTTACCTGTAGCAGGTGGCCACGTGCACCACCCCAGGTGGGACTCGAACCCACAATCCCTGGCTTAGGAGGCCAGTGCCTTATCCATTAGGCCACTGGGGCGAGACAAAACACCTTATCCACGTGGTCCATTGTAAAGCTCAACAACACGTGCACAAACTACGTTTTTTGTCGGGCCGGCGGCCGGAGCGTGTATCCCTAGACCCGAACTTAGTACAAGTAGCAGAAAGCCAACTAGACAACCAGAGGGTACACCCGCCGGGCTACGCGGAAAGCTAAAGAGTAAGACGAAAAGATTGGGAGGTACCAGCTGAGACCTAAGGGCGCCCGGCGGCGCGCAGGTCCAAGGAGATGAGCGAGGTCCCCGGAAGGCGAGCGTCTGCGGGCCAAGGGACTAGGAGAGGGGAGAGGAGGGAGGCCAGTACGATGCCGATCGGGATTGCTATGCCCCCAGCCACGAGCCACCGCTACCGCCCCCTCTGCAAAAAAAAACAAAAAAAAAAACCAGAGCCGACCACGAAGGGACTCGAACCCTCAATCTTCTGATCCGAAGTCAGACGCCTTATCCGTTAGGCCACGCGGTCCTCGTGCTGAGTGGGAAGCAATGTGATATTCAGGTGTAACTTCCTCGCAGGTGGCAGCGGCAGCTCAGGTGACTAGTGCCGGGGAACAGTGCCGGTGCTGGGGTACAGGCTGCATGAAAGGCGGGGCCAGGATGCAGTCTATGCAGCCAACGTCTGTGCGGTGCGTCCTTATATCCCTCAAGAAGCATCGCCATGGAACTCAGCCTTTACAGGGCATGTGTGGTACAGCGAGTAAAATGTCTGACCCTGGCTCAGGAGGTGGAAGGTTCTAGTCTTCTTCTAAGGAGAGGTCAGCACACTGTGTTACACCTCAAACCTTAACCTTTTCCCTTGGACCTCTGCAGTCTTCCAACCCACTCTCGGTTCTGGACTGCAATCCCACTGAGCGATAACCTTGATTTTTTGACACCCGGAGCTTCCGGGATGACGTCATTACGTAGCTTAACACGTCACAGTCAAAAGGCAAATAATCGCGCGCCGCCTGCGTAGTGCCCCAGTGGCCTAATGGATAAGGCACTGGCCTCCTAAGCCAGGGATTGTGGGTTCGAGTCCCATCTGGGGTGAGGTAAATAAGCGCTGACTAAGTTTTTTTTCTAGACCCCAGATATGGTAAAAACAAACAAAAACCTTGCCGTCTATTTTGTCTTTTTTTTTATAGCCTTTTCTGTATGTGTTGCACAGGGGAGCCTCGGTAGCAATTATCTTACTCTTTTTAAAAAGTGTATTTTTTTTTTTTATTGATTTCAGAAAGGGAGAGATAGAAACATCAATGATGAGAATCATTGATGGGCTGCCTCCTGCACGCCCCACACTGGGGATGAGCTGGCAACCCTGGCATGTGCCCTGACCGGGAGTCAAACCAGGACCTGGTTCATAGGTCCACACCACACCTGCTGGGCTTACCCTTTCTTTTCGATCAAGCTGTACTGTGCACTTTGAAAGGTATGATCAAGCTGTACTGCACTTTGGGGCCCTACTTCCTGTTGCTTCTATGAGTTGGTATCCACTCATCTGGTGAAAGGAGTGTGTTCTGTGAGAGACCATCACTGACTGTAAAGTTAATAGGCAAAACCCTTAGCCCCTAGTCTCTCCCTGCCTCCCATTGGGTGAAAATGCTGCCCAATTCTATGCCAAAGATTCTGCTGTGGGCTGTTCCCATGGAGATGGCACCCACAGTTCTGTGCAGGAAAAAAGATGGCACTCAAATCCTCTGATCCCAGGAATGTTTAAAAAGGGGCTATTAGCTCTAGCTGGTTTGGCTCAGTGGATAGAGTGTTGGCCTGTGGACTGAAGGGTCCTGGGTTCCATTCTGGTTGAGGACACATGCCTAGGTTGTGGGCTTGATCCCCAGCTGATCAATGATTCACATCATTGATGTTTCTCTCTCCCTCTCCCTTCCTTTCTGAAATCAATAAAATAAATTTAAAAGTACATTAATAAAAAGGGACTATTGAATATGTACATTTATGATTTTCATACTTTCCTGTATACGTGTGTATCATTTAGAAAAAAAAATTTTTTTAAACTACAAATCTGGCCAGAGATGATTTTTTTTTTTAAACCTTGAAGCCCATAGCTCCTGAGGAGTATAGCTGGGCTTTCAAGGTTGAATATCTCACATTATGTGCTGTGTTGTTTGAGATTTTCAAAAGTCCTTGACTCAAAAAAGTTTAAAAACCAGTTTCTTGTGCTTTTGTAAAAGAAACAACACACGAACAAAACAAAGAATTAGAAATACAGAATTCTCCTCTCTTCTCCAGGGTCATCCAGAATTCTTGTCTCTACTCCAACCCAGTCACCACGTGTCATGGATGCTACGTTAAGGCATCCCTCTGGCTCCCAAGCCTGGCCACAGAACTGGAGCACTGGGGGCTCCTCTGCACTATGAGAGACACTGATCTTTTCCTGTTTCAGGCTTCAGTTCTCCCTGAAACCATCCTCTAGGCCAGCCGTGGGCAAACTACGGCCCGCGGGCCGGATCGCCCGTTTGAAATGAATAAAACTAAAAAAAAAAAAAAGACCGTACCCTTTTATGTAATGATGTTTACTTTGAATTTATATTAGTTCACACAAACACTCCATCCATGCTTTTGTTCCGGCCCTCCGGTCCAGTTTAAGAACCCATTGTGGCCCTCGAGTCAAAAAGTTTGCCCACCCCTGCTCTAGGCTCTGCCTCCAAGAAGCTTACATTCTAGGGAGAGAGAGGACAGTAGAAGACAATTCAAAATAGAGGGCAATGGGAAACTACTGAGTAGTCAGAGAAGGCCTCTGGGTAGAGAATAGCAAACTTATCATTGGCAATGTTGTCACCTTCAAAGGACTTTATATATATATTTATGTTTTTATTGATTTTAGAGAGCGAGGAAGGGAGAGAGAAACTTCAATGTGAGAAACATCAATCAGCTGCCTCTTGCAAGCCCCCTCCTGGGGATGGAACCTGCAACCCCAGCATGTGCCAATACAGCCACGACTTCAAAGGCCTTATTTAATGTCTTGGCTGATACACTACCTACCTCATAGGGCTGTTTTGAGGAGAAGTGAGATATTTATCTAAAGTGATTAGAATAATTCTTAGAACATAGTATATGCTTTGTAAGTCTGATCATCATTTACTAATATACTAGGTTGGCCCTATTATCCGAGGTTCATGTGATAACCTCCTAGGCTAGATGTGAACCCTGAAGGCTCACATTTTTTCTCTTTCATTTACAATGAATTCATATTAAGGCTCCTCTAAATCCCAAGCACAGTGCTAAGCCCTGGAGAATAGAAATATGACTAAGGTATAGTGCTGGCACTCAACAAAGAGTCTTCTGGAATCCTCTAGATCTCCATCTTCTGGGATTAAGAGTATAACCTGACCATTAGACAACTGAACCCACATACACCTATGGCTCACCTTTCCATTTTAACAAAAAGCCCACTTCCAGGGAGGTCACCTCAGAGTTGTAACTATCTCAACTGCAAAGGAGCAGACACACACAGCACCATCTGATTATTTTTAATGTCCAGAGTTTAAAATACAAGGAGCAGAGCTTCCTCTCAGACTTAAGTTTATAAACTCTCAATTGGCTTGTGAGGCCAGTAGGGATACTTGTTTTGTCTAATTTGGTTTCCGGGAAGACTTCATTCAAATCCTCAATGGTCATCTGGTCAAATGGAATTATGTTCCTCATCTTCTCCAGCTGAAAGGAGGGGAAACATGTTAAGGTCAGCAGGGCTGCAGAGATGCAAAAAAGGAACCCAAGGCAGGTTTCTGCCATTCGGTGGAAGAGAGGAAACATATCCCAAAGGCCAAAGGCTATCCTTACCTCTTTCTCGTATTGCTCAATCCTGGTCTTTGAGAGAGACACAAACTCAGCACAACTTTTCACCTTTAAAAGAAGGGAGACATTCTGTTTTGGATCCAAGTTAAAGTGTCCTGACCCTGAGGCTCCCAAGGTCTCAGAAGTCCTGGAGCCAGACCACTGCTGCTTTCTCACTCTCTACGGAGAATCTGTAGCTGCCATGACTACTGGGGGAGCTGGCTTTGGGAGGCAAACTACAGCAGCTTATGATGGCGGGACCAGGGTTCTTCAGGAAGGGACTCGTCTAGGCAACCTGCAAAACGCCCATGTTTAGGTGCTGGGTGCGGAAGGGTCAGGACAAGCTGCCTGACCACCTAGCCGGACTTCTCCTTGGCGGAGCCACCTGCACTCCACTTGGCCTTCAGTACTTCCAAGCGCACTGGGTCATTTCCCACCCAATTCCAACTCCTTAATTGTTCGTAACAGCTTTTTTTTAAAAAATTATTATTGTAACAGCTTCGTTGAGGTATAACTGACATACAATAAAATGCACATATTTAAAGAACCCACTTGATCAGTTATGACATATGTATCCACCATCGCCACAATCAAGAGAGAACAAACTGATCAGCCCCCTCTCTCCAATTACCAGCCAACTTCCGAGGTTGCATTTTCTAGAGTTTTATTCTATTCCTCCTTTTAGTTCACGCTACTTCAACCTAATGACTAAGAAGAGCCATCAGGAGTTAAGAGCATTTTGGAATAAAAGAGTCTCAACTACTTACATCTTCTTTTTCTTCAGCATCCACCAGGGCACTGTACTTATCCTCTGGCACAGGAACCTTCAGGGCACTAAACTATAAACACAGGCACAGGGAGCTGTTGTTAATACACCCAGGAGCTCCAAGCGGCTAATCCTTAGAGATCACCTAAGAACACATTCTCCATCCCAAGAAAAAGCCAGGATGAATCTAGGGTGTTGGAGTGGAAAGAACATTAGACGGGGAAAGGGATCTCAGGTTCTTCTCAATCCTGTCACTAACTAACCGGAGTTGGTTAAAGCTCAGTTGGTTAAAGCGTCATCCCAATATGCCAAGTTGTGGGTTCAACCCCCGGTCAGGACACATACAAGAATCAGCCAATGAATGCAGAAATAAGTGAAACAACAAATCAATGGTTCTCCCTACCAAAAAAAAAAAGAGGGGTGGGGGAATCTCTTAAAAGCTTGTAGCTCTAAAGAAATTCTGATTTCTCTTTTAAGTGAAACCCTATCGGACTTGGTGGAACTAATGTTTGCATAATGGAGATGGTCTCCCTAGAACGTCCCTGGGAATCTTTTTAAAATCCTGATTTCTGCCGAAACCGGTTTGGCTCAGTGGATAGAGCGTCGGCCTGCGGACTCAAGGGTCCCAGGTTCGATTCCGGTGAAGGGCATGAGGCCCAGAAATCAGGATTTTAAAAAGATTCCCAGGTGATTCTAATGTGCAGCCAAGGTTGAGAACCACTGCCCGCACTCAGCACTGCACCTGGCACAGAGTAGGCCCTTGATAAGTTAACAAGAAATTACAGCTTGTAAATTACAGTAAAAAAATAAAAATAATAAAAGCAGAGTAGAGAAAGGAGGAAAACAGGGGAAGGGTAGAAAAGATATCAGTTTATTCCAAAGGAGACAGGTGGGGGACCAAGAAATAATTGAGGAGAGGAGTGGAAATGTGTAACTTGACAGCCCTCTGGCTCCTTGAGTAAGGCTATCCTGTACTGTTTCTTTGGACAAAAACCATTCGAATAAACAGACCCCGAATTCTCTGCATGCATTTACCATTTAACTCTACTAACGTGAGACCTTTGGCCACACCCACCTCACCTGAGCTTCCTTCAGGATCTGAGTGCTAATACCACCCTCTTTCCTTGCTGTCATCCCGAGAATGTAATTATCTGCCGTCCCCGCTCTTCCCACAAGCCACGTTACAAGACCAGCGCTTTAGTGGCCTGAAGCCTCACCTTCTTCTCAAAGTCATCTACTAAGCCGGCCTTCGCCACATTGGCCTTGTAGTAAGCCCAGTCGATAGCAGGTGGTTTCTCGGGTAGAGTAGCCAACCTGCTCA